GCTAGGCCCCCTTCTTTCCCATTTTTTCTTCTTTATTTCTTTTGATACTCTTGACCTTTTGTTCTTCTAGATACATTTTGTTATTCTTTTTTCTAGCTCTACAGAGTTTCTTAGCTCTATAGTTTGATTGGTATGACACTGAATAAATAAGTTGATTTAGGCTGTATTGTCATTTTAATTGTATTGACAAGTTCCAGCTAGGAGAAATTAACATCCTTCCAATTATTTGATATTTGTTTTGTAGTCTGTAGAGTGTTTTGTAGTTGTATTTATATAATTCCTATTTACATTTTGATAAGAAAACTCATTTTAGATTTCCTGTAGTTATTTTCAATGAAATTTCTCTGTTTATCTCCTGCTGCTGGGTTCTGTTGGTAATATTAAAAAAAAGTTGATCTTTATATAGATTTATTTTATATCTTGCTACTTGGTTTCAATTAATGTTAGCTGAATCTCCAGGGTTTTCTAAGTAGATCATCACATCTTCAAAAAAGCAATAATTTTGAGTTTTGTTTGCCTATGCTTATTCCCTAAATTTTCTTTTCTTTTATTCTACTGTGGTAGCTAGCATTTCTAGAATTACATCAAATAAAAGGGATGATGATGGACATGTTTTCTTTACCCCTCGTGTTATTAAGAAGCTCCATTTTCTCCATTCAGTATCTTTCCATTATGTATAATTCTGGTTCTTGGTTTTAGATGGGACTTTATTATATTATTATATTATATATATTTTATTATTTTCCCTATTTTTAAAAAACAAAAATGGTTGTTTTCTCAAAAGCTTTTTCTAGATCTGTCAATATAATCAAGAGATTTTAAAAGTTTTTGTTATTAATATGGTCTATATAATTTTCCTAATATTGAGCCAACTCTGCACTCCTGGTATAAGTCAATCTGATCACAATGTACAATCTTTTTAATATGTTTCATAGCCTCTTTGCTAATATTTTTTTCAATGTGTGTTAATAACCATCAGCAATTTTGGTCTATACTTTTCTGTTTCTGCATTCTCTCTTCTTGGTTTGGGTGTCAAGGCCATATTTATATCATAGAAGGATAGAATTCCTCCCACCCCTAGTTTTTTCTTTCTCTGTTAATCTAGGTATTTTGTATGCTCATAAATATTAATTTATTTATCTGTTTTGTTGGCATATCATTGGGTAAAAATCGTTTCACACAATTTCTTTTACCCTCAAGCCTGGACTCTCACAATAGCCTATGGATTAGTCTCCTTAACTCAAGTCTCTTTCCCATTCCAATCTGTCTTCCACTCAGTCATCAAATTAATCTTCTCAAGGCACAGATCTGATATGTCATCTCCCTATTCAATCAACTCTAGTAATTCCTTATCCCTTTCAAGATCAAATGTAAAATCTTCTATTTGGCATTCAAAGCCCTTCATAACCTGCTTTTCCTCTTTCCAGTCTTTTTATACCTTATATCTCACCCCACCCCCATATACCCTGTGACCCAGTGACATTGGCTTCTTTGCTGTCCCTTTGGCTTTCCATACCTCACTCCAAAGCAGTTTAACAGACTAGTCTGTCTCTCATACCTGGAACACTCTCACTCCTTGCCTCTGCCTTCTGACTTCCCTGGCTTTCTCCAGATCTCAGCTAAAACCACATCCTCTACAATAAGCCTTTCCCACTTGCCCTTAATGTGATCGCTTTCCTTCTATTGATTATTTCCAATTTATCCTGTCTCTAGTTTGTACATCATCATTTGTATGTTGTTTCCCACATTAGACTGGGAGCTCCTCAAGGGCAGGGACAGTCTTTTGCCTTTCTTTGGATCCCCAGTGCTCAGCACAGTGCCTTGAATGCAGTAGGCACTTAATAAATGCTTATTTCTTCTTCATTTGTTGAAAATGATTCTTTTTCCTTTTTGATATTGTCAATTTCATTTTTCTCTTGGTTTTTAAAGATAAGATCGACGGTTTACCTATTTATTAGTTTTTTTTCTCCAAAAAGTAGCCCCTGGTTTTATTTATTAATTTTATGAAGTTTTTATTTTGATTCTATTGATCTCTTCTTTGATTTTCAGAGTTTCTATTTTTTGTGTTCACTTGGGATTATTTTTTTTAAATTTGTTGTAGGTTTGTAGCTTTTAACAAATTCCCTTTGTTTTCTTTTTCCTCTTGGCTTTTCCTCCCCCTGCTTTTAGCTTCCAGTTCCAGTGGCCTTATTTTGAAGCTGGGGTCAGTTGTCCGGTCTGCTGTGTTTTGATGTCATGAAGGTTTAAAGCACACACACACCCACACACACCCACACACACTCAGAATGAAACAGCATTTTAAAATGACATAATTTCCAGAGGAAGTTGAAATGACATTCCCATTAAATCTGGCCCCACTAGCCCATCTGAGCCCAGCAGGCTTTGTTTTTGCATTAGATTGTGAACACCAGGAAGAGAAGCCTGCCTGTGGTTCTGGCTGGAACCAGGGCCCTCTCTCAGGAGTTACTCTTCTCACTGAGGCATCTGTTAGGGTCTCTCCATTTGGTTGTTCTTGCCCAGATTACCTCTAGTAGTGGGTTAATTAATAACTAGGCAATGGGTATTGCTTTTCCTGTTTCAGGGGAGGAAAGTCAAGTTGGTCAAGTTGGGTTCTATGCTTTGTATGAGTGTCAGAGCTGGGGGGGAAAACTTAAAAGAGAGAATGTGGGGCAGCTAGGTAGCGCAGTGGATAGAGCTCCGACCTAGGAGTCAGGATGACCTGAGTTCAAATTTGACCTCAGACACTTGACACTAACTATGTGAACCCGGGCAAGTCACTTAACCTCTGTTTGCCTTAATTCATTGGAGAAAGATCTTTCCCAAGAAAACCTCATGTGGGGTCACAAAGAGTTGGACACAACTGAAACAGAGTTGATCTTGTAGTCAAGAAGATGTGGGTTCATATCCTGTCTCTGATACCACCTAACTGTTTGATAACCTTTGAATTCCCTAGACAGCTTCTTGACATTTATCTACTGAGCCACAGATGTGTGGTGAACTATGTTGGTGGAGGGGTTCATCTTGTGGGCTGATGAAATCTCAGATCCTTCTAGTTAGATTGTAAGCTTCCTGAGGGTAAGGACTATTATTATTATTATTTAGAGGCAATTGGTGTTAAGTTACTTGCCCAGGGTCATACAGCTAGTAAGTGCCTGAGGTCGGATTTGAACACAGGTTCTCCTGACTCCAGAGCCCTGGATTTATCCACTGGACCACCTAGCTGCCCTCCTCCCAAAAAAACTTACAACAAAAAGCTGAGATAGGTGAATAGATTTATTAAGTGCCTGTTATGTGCCTGGGACTGTACTAAAACAATGTAGGGCAAGGAAAAGCTCACAGGACTAGGAGTTGTGAAAGATTATAGCTCTATTACTAATAAAAACACTTTACATGTTATCTCATTTTAACATCACTACAACCCTGGGCAGTAGGTGCTATCACTATCATTTGCATTTTACAGAAGGGGAAGTGGAGGCACAGAGAGGTTAAGCAGAATGGGCCGCAGGTGTTCAACTTTTGGGCTGGGAGGAGGCAGAGGACCAGCCGAATGCAGGTAGCCCGTCCGGCCCTGCGATTGGCTCCGAGCCTGCGGCAAACCCTTGAGGATTGGCTCCAGGTGGCCGCCCTGATGGGCTCCCTCATTGGTCGCCAGGTACTTGTCTCTCTCTTTCTCCCCTCCTACCGCTCACGCCGCACGTCTATTGGCCGGCCGGCCGAAACCCGGCCAATCCGGCATGTTCGGACCGTTCTAGAGGGGGTGGGGTGGCGCTCAAGCCCCTCAGAGTGAACTTCAGTCCCTCCTGCTTCGTTCCCTCCTGCTTGGCGTGGGCCAAGCGCGCGCCCCTTACTACCCTGTGGTGGCGGTCGCGCGCGCGGACCACTCCCAGGCCAAGTTCTTCCAGGCTGGAGTATCTTCCGGGGAGTAAAGTTGGGGGAAGGGGAGCAGAGTTCTCGGGCAGGGCCGGGGGTAATGCCTGGGTTCTCTCTTCTGCGGCGTCCTCAGAGGGTGAGAGGGGCTAGGGAGAAGGGGCTACAGCCTCAGTAAAATGTGTATCCTCCACTCCCCGCTAAGCCACCCCCCAGGATCTCTCCAAAGCCCCTTAGCCTAGCGGCTTTCTCCCTCCAATCCCGCATTCACCCCAAATGCCCTCACCCCATGGCCAGCCTCATAGCTTCATCCTCCAGGAAGGTTTCCCGTTTACCTAAAGATTGCAAATCCCCTCCCCGCTTTGTCCTCCCCCACACGCCTGCCCCCTTTCCCCGGCTTCATACTCCCCTAGGACACCCCTTGCCCGAGGTCTTCTTCCTAGCTAATGGGTTCCAAACACTTCCCCCGATTTTGTCTTTCCCCACATGCCTGCCCTTTCCTCCTAGTTTCCTGGGATTCCACTCCACCTCAAGATCCCAGCCCCCCCAGCCCTGGGCCTCAGTTTCCTCTTTCGTAAAATGATAGGCTAGTAATGGATGGCTTTTGAGGGCTTTAAATCCAAATCCATGACCCTTATTACCAGGCAAATCTGTTATTCAAGGATCATTCCCCCCCCCCATTTCCAGTTCTAAAGCATCCCTGGGATGCTTCTTTCTGCACCTCAACATCCAGTTTTGACCCGCAGGGATTTCTGATCTTTAATCCACTCCTCCCAACTCCCTTTTGTTCTGGAGGTCACCCCCTCCCCTTGTCGCCCAGCTGCTTTTACTACTGGAACCCCCCAATCCACATCCCTCTCTCTTTCAGGAATCCCCCAGTCCCATTCTGCCTTTCTTGCACTTCCTCTGCGCCCCATTTGTCCCCAGTTCAGGTCACTAGGTCAGTTGTAGCTTTTCAGTGATAACTTTTGAGAGGAGTGTCTTTCCTCTTTGAGTCATTAAACTTCAGGGTCAGCGTGGGTTTGTCGCTATCCAGTCCACCCCTCCCCCCAGCGGGGCGTCTAATCCCTGCCCAGCCCCCTTCTTCCCCACTCCTAGGGGGAGAGAGGGTGGGGGCCCTCGCCAAAGGAAGCCAGTAAGTTCGGCCCCCGACCTGCCCCTCCCTCCTCCTGCTCCGGCCCCTCCTGCTCCTGCTCCTCCTCCTGTTCCTGCTCCTCCTCCTCCGGGAGACCAGCCTGCAGGTAGGATTCTGCTTCCTTCTTAGCTCTTGGGTTAGAAATGTGACCTGGGGGAGATTTACTCACTGGCGATCCTGGAAGTCCTAGGCTCGCTGTGGTTCTGTCCTAGAGGCAGAAATTTCCTGCCTTGGATATTTGGGAAGGGAGTCGGGAAAACTTCCCTGGGGGGCCCTTCCCCGCCTTCCTTACCCTCCCCCCTTCCCCCAGGTAGCTCCAGGCGCTCGGAGTCCTCACACAGACAGCGCCCACTCCCGGGGGTTGCCCTCTCGGGGCGGTGCGTCGGCCCTGGTGTTTCTGCTTCGTCGAGTGGGCCAGGCGGTGAAATGGAGAGAGCGCCGTGGACATCAAGCCGGGTTCCCAGCCCCGATCCGAAGCCCTGATCCCTGGAGCCTCTGCCGGCTGCGGCTCGGGAGCCAGACCCGCTGCTCTGCGCGCGCTCAGGACGCAGACTCCGCTGGTTGGGATTAATGCCATGCCGAGCAGGATGGGGTCCAAGACAAATGTGGGTCGGGAGATCGTTCGCATTAAGGCACACTACAACGGGTAAGCAAGCGACGCCCACTGCCCCCACCCCCTCACCGGCATATCTGGGGCGGTTTTGCAGCCTTCCCTCCGGTCCTGGCCAAGTTTGCGTCTGTTTACTAGGCAGCCATGGAAAGTTTGTCCCCTCTCTCGGGTCGGTGCTTTGGCAACAAACCGGGGGGGGGGAGGTTGGGCGGAGAAGGGGGTGGTGTAACAGTCCATGAGGGGAGAAGCTGTCTTTTTAAAGTCTTCCTTTTGCGATTACGACTGGATCGACTTAATGAGCAGTAAACTGTAGCTATTGCCGGAGTTAAACTTTTTCTTCTGCGTCTTAGAGTTACAAAATGTAATTCACCGCAGTGACTCATTAACAAAGCATTCGGGGGGCTGGGCTCGGTGGAAGAAGCTCTAGCAGGCAAGGCGGAGTCAAGAGTGTTCGGGCTTACCTGTGAAATGGGCCGATGATTTGTAAGCTGGTCATGGTAGACCTGTTTCTCCCCCTACAAAGCCCGAGTAGGGAGCTTTGCAAACCTTAAAGCCTGAATGAGATGAGCGATTAATCCGTGAGAAGCCGAGTCATGTGTCAGCGTTAGAGGCCGGAAGGCCCGAGTTCAAATGTCGTCTCGGACACATACTGGCTTCAGCACCCTGAGCCCAAGTCCCTTGACCTCTCGAGATTCCAGCTGGCTATTAAATTGACAAGAAGGGGCGATTTGGCACTGGTGACTCGGGAGGCTTCCTCACCCACTACTAAGACACAGGTGCATCCCTATGCCCTATTTAATAACAGTGTGCACCATTGAGGGCAGGGTAAAAAAGGGCCCCATTCTCCAGCTTGATTTTGTAATTATTTTCTTTTTTGGTTTGTCTAGTCTAGACCTATAATCTTCTCTCTCTCTGTCTCTTTCTCTGTCTCTCCATTATCTACAACTCAAATCTCTTCTGGGGGCGCGGAGACGTTCTTAGACTTGCCCAGAATCACACAACCAGTATGTATCTGAGGCTGAACTTGAGCCCAGGGCCCCATGACTCCAAGGTTTGACCTCCATACCCTCCACCAGAGCTGGCCTTTGTCAATTAAGTTAGCACGTTGTTCTCTAGTATAGAGTGCTGTTTTTGGAACATTTTTAGGCTGTTGAGGTTCAGAGCCATGGGTCAAGAGTCAGGACTTGGATTTGAATTCTGGCTGGACACTTAATTACTTGTATGATCTTGGGCAAGTCATTTCCTTGGGCCTCAGTTCAGTTCCTTCCTTTGTAAAATGATGGAGCTAGAAAGGTCTCTCCAGTTTCAGGTCCATAATCTATGATCCTATTTAAGTTCCTGCCAAGCTGGGACTGTCACATACGTTCTGTACATGATCTAGGCTGCTGTGGGCATTCAGACGTTGTCAGGTCCTTTCCCTTGAACTTTTCTGTATCCTGGCCCCCTTGGGACAGTTCGGTGAAGCCCTTGGTCCCCTCTTTTTGAAATGCATAAAATGAAATCTTGAGGATTCCAGAGGAAACCAGTTCTATTGAAATAGTTATCAAAATAAAAAACACAACTACCTCAGTTCATGGCCCTCAGGTTAAGAGCGCCTACTCTCTGGGTCCTCACCTGAATCTAGGCCTTTGATTCAGTCCCCAGAGTAGTGCCATTGTCTAATTGGTGCTTTAGCCGAGCAGGCTGATAGGAGAGAATTTTCTTTTTTTTACACTTTAATCTGGAAAAAGGAGAAAAATAAGATATCTAGTCCTTTCACTGCAAGGAAATTGTTTACAGCCTGTAGCCTTCCACTGAGTTAGATTTTTCCCTCAGGCCTTGTCGTATTTTAGCAAGTGAGCTTAACCCATGAATTGAATCTACCCTCCTGAAGTAGGACCCTAGGCTTAGTAGAAGGGATAGGATTTTTTTTAAAGCCTTTCATTCTCAGTCACTTTCTCATTTCTGAAGTTGACCAAGAGCTCTCAGTTCTTTCCCCAAGTCCAGGAAACCGGCCAAACACGAGTAGCAATCTTTTGGAGAGAACACCTCTCAGCTGAGTTAAGAGTGAAAATGGTATTCATATTTTTTTGTTTGTAAAAATTTCAGCTTGGTATTTGGCCTGGAAAAAGACAGAAGAAAGCTTATTATCATCTTAGGAAAAGGACACAGGTCATCGGGCTCATATTTTGATCATTTCATTCCCTTAAGAAATATACTGGTGAGCTTTCTAAAATTAGACTTTGCCAAAACTTAAAGATTTTTTTAGAATCTGAAAATATTTTTGGGAAATGCAAAATTATTTCCTATTCTTTAAAAAAATTCTTTTTGTTGGAAAATAATTCGTATTGAATAATTCTTGTTACAATCCAAAAGAGAAAGCCTTGAGGATGAATTCCATTGTTCAGACTATATTATATAAAATGTCATCTCATAGCATCCCATATTCCTCTTAGCATCCCTGGCTTCCTTCAAGGCTTAATGCCTGTCCTGTCTCCACTGCTTCCCTCTTGAAATTACCTGGTCCTTATATTATTTAGAGAGTCCAGATGCAGAGCTAACCTCAGAGTCTCAGGGACCTGAGTTCAAGGCTCTCCTCTGACACTGGCTATATGAACCCTGGGCAAGTCATTTTACCTTTTGGTGACCAAGCCAACTCTATGATTACCTTTCAGGGAAGATGCTGATCTAGATTGAGGGAGGGGCTTCCTAAATTAAGGAAATCGAAGAAGAGCTGGTAGAAATAAAACAAGAATGTATGTGTGTCTACATGTTGGCATAGGATGTCAACTTCACAAGACTGCAACTGGTGCATTTTTGCCTTTGTAAACTCAGCACCTAGCACTTAGTAGGAATCGTTGATGTGCTAGAGGCACCTTGAACCTGTGAGCATTTACATGTGGGAAATCTGGCAGAGCTACAGATCAGGGCTTGATTTTTTGTTTCATTGATTGTTCAAGCTAAAGAAAGTGATGGAGAAAATGTTCATAATAATAATAGCTTCAGCACTTGCTCTGTGCCAGGCACTGTACTTTACAATTATTAACTCATTTGATCCTCACCACAACCCTGGGAGTTGTTAACATAACTTCATTATTTATTTAATTATTACTAGCTGCTAATAAATTATTACTTAATTTTATTATATTATTAATAATGATTAAATTAGTTGATAATATTATCCCCATGTTACAATGAGGAAACTGAGGCTAGCAGGGCTAAGTTATTTGCTCAGGGTCACAAGTCAGTAAATGCCTGAGGCTGAATTAGAACTCATGAAGATGAATCTTCCTGATTCCAAGCCTAGTACTCTATCCATTGTGCCACCTAGCTGCTCCAAAGATATGGCACTGGTTTACCATTTCCTTCTCCGGCTCATTTTACAGATGAAGCACTGAAGCTCACAGGCTAAAGTGACTTGCTTAGGGTCTGAGAGCTAGTAAGTATCTGAGACTGGATTTGAACTCAGGGAGGCGAGTCTTCCTCACTCCAGGCCCAGAACTCTATCTGCTTCGCCTCCTAAATGTCCATATTGAACACATAGGAAGATAAATACATGATGTATACAAAGTTAGTCATCATTAAGCACCTACTACGTGTCAGGCACTGTGCTAAGTGTGGAGATACAAAGAGAGGCTTAAGATGGTCCCTGCCCTCAAAGAGCTCCCAGTGTAATTCAAGACAATTCCAAAGAAGACTAAGTTGGAGATAGTAGACAGAGGGAAGCCACTAGAATTAAGGGGGTTTAGGACAAGAAGGTGGGATTTGAGCTGGGCTCAAGGGAAGCCAGAGAAGCCAGTAGGGAGAGGTGAGGAGTGAGTGAGTGCATTCCAGGCATAGAGGAAGGCAAGTTAAAATGCTTTGGAGTCCGACAGGAGCATCTTGTGTGAAGAGCAGCCAGGAGGCTGGTGTTACTGGGTCACAGAGGATGTGTTTGGGTAGGTGGGTGTACGACTGGAAAGGAAAGGCTGGGGGAAGAGGTGATCATAAACTTCAGTGCCAAACAGGATATTCCATTTGGTCCTGGAAATAATAATGGACTACTGAAATTTATTGAGTTTAGCAAGATCACTTTGACAGCAGACACAGGTAAGGTAACCTTGGGGAGGAAGGCACTGGAAAGAGGGAATACCAGGAAAGACTTGCTATAGATGGTGATCCTTGAGTGATTAGAAACAGCATAGTTTTTAATGATTAAAAAACTCCCAATAACTAAGAATTCCTTTTATGGAGGGTGAAAGAGGGTGGCGTTTTCTGGGTTCCTGCATACACAGCAGTGAAGATAAATGTCCCTCCCATCTGAGATAAAGCAGTTTGAGTCCATGTGGAGACAATTCTGCAGGGCTGTTAATTATTCAGGTAGCTCCTAAATAATTTGTATGCCAGCTGCAATTAGAGAGTGTTTTAAAAAACCATGTGATTCAATTCATCAGCTCCTTATCCTGTACCTGCTTGGAGTCTAGCATTGTGCTGGGTACTGAAGGTATGTTGGATCTGCCTTGAAGGACTATGGGGCTCTCTATGTGGGTGTGAGGGATTTCTCAATACACAGATAAGCTCACCCAATGTTGGTATTTCCCTTCTCTTACCTCCTTCCTATAGCCAGCCACACACACACACACACACACACACACACACACACCCAGTTCAGGGTATAATTATATACTAGCTCATACTGTTTTCTCTTTGAAATTTACTAGGCTTGTTTTCTGAGGGTAAGCAAAAGCTCTTGGACATCTGGACCGATTTATAGGGTCATAGAGAGGTGGGAGGAACCTCTCGGAGGCTGCATAGACTTTTTGTTTTTTATTTTTTGGAGACTGTCTAGTCTAATGGTCACATTTTACAGATGAGAAAACTGAGGCTGTGGGAAAGAAAGTGTCACACAACATAGGTATAAGTGTGAGAAGTGGGTTTTGAATCAAGGTGTTCTGACTCACAATTCCTTGCTTTTTTCAATTGATACAGTTTCTGCCCCTTTTTTTTTTCAACCCCAGTGCTTAGTACAGTTCCTTGAATGGAGTAATTCCTTAATATGCTTGTTGATCATTGGTCGA